AGGCATTTGACACAGTTTTCCCCACAAAAGATTGGTGCAAAAACGGAGGGGCCAAGCAGGGATAACAGGGAAAGGGCCCTATGCCTTCCCGGGTTTTCCCCCGGGAAATATCAGGAAATTTGTCAGGAAGACAGCAGCGAGTCATGGTACGGGGGCGAAGTGTCCCGAGTGGGGGACCCGGGACCAGCTGGGGCCCACAGGGGTCAGGGCTTAGGACCCGGGGGGTTTCCCGGTATTTGTAAAAAGACCTGACGGGGGAAAAAGACTCCCGGGGGTGTCCCCCGTTTGCAGAGGCGTGAAAAATTTATGAGAAAAAATTCACCCCGAAGATCAGGCAGAAATAAAAAAAGGAATCTGGACAGGGGTTTCGGGCATTTGGGCCAGCAATTTGGGTCCTGGAGTTCAACCCACCAAGTGCAAAGTATGAAGGGTGGGGAATGGCAAAGAAAAAACCCCCAGACGGAGTACAGTCCCCCAGGGGGGGGCCCGAGACTACAAACCCACTCAAGGGAAAAAAATTTTTGGGGGAAATATTTTTACCAGGGGACATCTCCTGAAGCCCCACACAAAAAACCCAAAAAACGGCTGCGGGAAAATTTGGGCCCTAGCATACCTCAGAACCATTCCCAAAATTTAATAAGGAATCGTTCAGGACCCTGTACCATGTACGTTGGTTTCCTTTTTGGAAATATGCGGCCCAGTTTTGGGAAACCCCCACCTGCCCAAACAAAGTTAAAAAAAACTTGAAAAGTGCAAAGGGTTTTTAAACGAACTTTGTCCCAGAGCTAAGAGGATGTCCCACAGGAGGGTTTTAAGGGGAAAACAACCGACGACACTGGAGGGCAGGAGAGATGGGGGGGGCATGTAACGGGCATACAAAACATGAAGGGGGAAATTTACAAGAAGGGCAAAGACAGGAATTTTCCAGAGAGGGAAAAAAACAACAAGGGGACACAGTTGGAAGTTTTAAGACAAAAGATGAATCACGGGGTGTTAGGGGAAATATTTTTTTTCAGCCACAGAGTAGTCAGCAAGTGGAATATTTTGGGGAACGATGTAGTGGAGGAGGATCCATACAAAAGCTTTTAAAGGGGAGGTAGGGTAAAGCTCCGGTTCGGGAGAGTGACCTTTGTAGCGATCAGTGAAAAGGCGGGGCCAGGAGCTCGGGGGTCCACCCCCCGCAACCTCAACTAGGTGAGTACAACACACACGGCCCCACACACACACACACACCACAACAAAACAAACAACAACCACACACACACACACACCACAAAACAACACACCACAAAAACACACACACACACACACACACCCACACACATATAAAAAGGGGGCTACATAGGGTTAAAATTCCTGCGGGGGTCCCAGTGGGCCCGAGAAAAGGGAGGAAAGCAAAATACTGAAATGATGGAATATGTAACCCCCCAAAAGCAAGGAGGCAGTGGAAAAGGGTTTAAACCCCAAAGGGGAACAGTAACAACGGGAAGACCAGAACAGCCCCTGGTTTTTCCCCGGGCGTGTAAGGGGGGCAAAAACAAAGTGCAATAGAGAAGGAAAAGTACAGAAGGCAGAGAACAAAAACCAAAAAAGGGAGATTTTTCAAAATTGTTTTCCCACGGTCCCCCTATTTTCTGCATTTTTTTTTGGAGGCAAATTTACCTTCGGGCCTTTTATAGAACTTTATTTTTATATTAAAATTCTTCTTTTTTTTTTTCTTCCCTTTTTCTTCTTCTTATTTTTTATTATTTTTTTATTATTATTAAATTTTTATTATTATTATTATTTTTTAATTTATTATTATTATTATTATTTTTATTATTATTATTTTTTTCAAACATTATCATTATTACCCCCTTTTAAAATCCCCTTTTTTTATTATTATTATTTTTATTATTTTTATTATTAACATTATTTTTATTAAATTTTTATAGTTTTCTGGGAAACCATTTCCCTAAGGGAAAATTTTTAAAAATCGAAAAGGGATATTAAAAATGATTGATTGGGGACTAAAAAATTCACACTATTTTTACACGAATTTTGCAAAAATAAATCCATTTTCAGTTAAAACTTCTTTTCCACTCCCGTCATCCTCCCCCAAATGGATTCACCTTCTTGAACAAATTTTAAAACCAAGCAGACGAGGGTTTTTTTAAAAGGATTTTTATCCACTTCAGGAAATCTTGAAAAAATTTTAAAATTGAAAATTTCAAATCGAAAGTTTCAAGGGGGGAAAATTTCAAGTTGAAATGGGCTCTAGAACTTTATCAGGGGGACATGCACATTTAAAAATAGTTTTTAGGTTTTTGTCCCCAGTTATCGTACACTGGTGTTTAAAATTGGGAAACTTTAAACAATGAGCGATAAAAAACAAAACCTTGGGGAAATAAAAAAAAGGCAAAAAGGGGGTAACTTAGGCAGCCCCCTAAAAAATTACCCTCGGGGGGTACTTTAAAAAAATCAAATTTGTTTTTTTTCTAACCATTTTTGTCAGCATTTCATTCTTTTCCTCAAATTTTAAAAAATGATAACTGAGATCAAATAATTTAGGAACGAAAACAAAAAGCTGCTCTTCCCTGGATTTTCATGTAGATGGTAAGGGGAAAAAAAAATTTAAAAAGGAATAGGTTAGGTTAGGTTAAAAGGGAAATTTTTTAGGGGAAAAATGACAATGGGTTTTTGACGCGGGTCTTAGTAATATAACCCGCAGCTTTGGAAATTTTTATCAACTGTCGAGGTTTTTCTGCTAACTTTCCAGTAAACCCCTTTTAAAAATTAAAGGGTTTTTAAATTTTAAAAATTTTTAATATTTAAGATGAGGTAAAGAAGATTCTGTATAGGGGAGGAAACAAGTGAGAAAAAAAGACAATAAGTGGTATACTGTCTTTATGTTTAACCCATGTAAAATATCCTTTTTTCCCCAAAAACCCCCGAAGACATAAAATAGTTTCAGTATATTTTGGGAAATCGCTTTTAATTTAATTTACAAAAAAAATTTTAAACAGAAAAAAAAAAAAATGGTAAATTTTTAAATTTTATCCATATTTTAAAAAATTAAAATTTAAAAGAATTTCTTTTTTTAAATTTCGGACCCGACCAAAAGCCACAGGGGTTTAAGCTGGAGGGTTTCCCGAATGGAAAGTGTAAATTCACGTTGACCACAGCTACGCCCGAAACGCTTGGGCGCAAATTGGAAATTTACCGCTGGGGGTATGTCAAATACTTTGCTCCTTTTTGTTTTTCTATTAAAATTTAAACAAACAAAATTTTTTGTTTTAACTTTTTTCCCCAGGGTGTTCTGAAAGTCTTTTAGGTGATGATAAAATTTTGTGCATATAAATTTTTGAAGGTTTTTTTTTAAATGGGTTCACTTCGGACTGATTTTTTTATAAATACAAACTTATCCCGCATCCTTTTTTAATTTAAACCCCCAAAACTTTCCCAAAGCGCCCAGGCCCCCAAAATTTCCCGATGGGTAAGGGGTTGGGTGTGGAGGTCCCACTGAAAACCCCCTTTGGGCTAAAACTGCCCAAAAACGTTTTAGGGTCCACCCACACAAGTCCTCTCATCAACGGAAACCCTTTACCTTTCCACTCCCGAATTTAGATTCATCCCTTTCATGGCTACTTTTCTCTATCGGGGGGCCCCCCCGTCAGGTAAGTACTTTAGGCTTCAGGGGGGAAAATGGGCCATAGAAAGCATACATGGGGAAAAGGAAAAGCGAAATCTTTTTTTTCTGGATCAAGGATATCTATTTGGGGAAGGGCAAAACAAAAGTTATTTTTAATTTTGGGCCCAAATTTTTTTGAGATTAAGTTAAAATATCATATGACTTCTCCCCATTTTTTCATTCCCCTTCCAAAACAAGCAGGTTTTTATTTGAAGAAACTGACTGATGAATTTTCAAATTTATACAAAAACGTGCGTTTAATATTTAAAAAGGGAAAAATTTAATCAGGGTTTGATTTGCACCCAACAGGCCAAACGTTTAATCGCCAAGTGCGTTTGACAACGGGTAACTAAATTTTAAATATTTTTCTTCTAAACCTTTTTAATAAAGTCACGCATTTCTTTAGGAAAGGGGCTCTTGGAAATTTCCTCTGTTTTGTGCTTCCCTCAAAAAATTTAATGATAATGAAATTTAGTCCTGAAACTAAAGTAAAATAAGTTCGTGTTTTTCCCAATTTTATACCCCAAATTTTTCAAATCTTCTTTTTTTTTCTCTTTGGGGAGCTAACATCCCTGGTTGAACTGTCGGCCCAGCCAATGCCTGCACTTTTTTTGTTTAGCCCAATACTTCAGTGTTTTCCCCTAGTCGGTTTTAAAGGTTATTTTTGAGATTGCAAATTAAAGTGGTCAAACAAAATTTAAAATGATCTTATTATTTAAAATAAAAATAATAATGTAATAATAATAATAAAATAATAATAATAATAATAATATTTAAAAATAAAAAACAATAATAATAATAATTTAATAAAATATTATTATTATTTTTTATTAAATTTTTATTAAAAAAACCCATAATAAAGCAGCAGATTCCCCCCCCAAGGGAAATTTAAAAGCAGGGGGCCAATTCCTCGGTTTAAGAGCCTTTAAAACCCGGGATCCCCGGGCCCTCCCCTTTAGGGGAATCAGGTGATCTTAAAATAAAAAATTTCATCCAAAATTTTCATTTACCTTCTTTCTTCCCGGAAATTTTAAAGGGTTCTTTTTCATTATTGATAATTTTTCGCGGGCAATTGTTTTTCCCCATACTAGAGTGAACGTTTAAAACGTCCCGCGTATTTTAAGAAGTTTTTTACAGGGCGGTTTACAACAAGGTTCTCAATTTGCCCTTTTTTTGAAATTTGGTTAGGTTAGTAGGTTTGGGGGGAGTTTATGTTTAAATTAAACTTCAGGTTTAAAAATTTTAACCCAGTAAATTTTAAAAAGGGCCAAAATCAAAAAATCACTGTTTTAAGACTAGTTTAAAAAAAGTCCCCTCAAATTTACCCGTCATGCAAAAAGTATATATTCTGTTATTTAGAGAATGGGGATCTCTGGAATTTTTTTGTAAATGGATTGCAACAGAGTCATGGAACCTAAAACATTCCGTAGCTTTAAAAAGAGTTTAGACAAATATATGAATGGGAGAGGCTAGGTTTGATTAGCACCTCAAGTACTAAAGCAAATGGTTGTTTTTGAGAAGAATCTGCCTAATATGGGCCAGTAGGCCTGTTGCAGTGTTCATCGAAACTTATGTTCTGATGTTCTTGAACAGTAGTTTCTCCCTTGAGAATCCATAAAATCCTATGTATAATCATTTCGCTGGAAAAAAGCACAGTTTGAAGCTATGGTAAGCCAATCCTAGAATTAGCAGGCCAGTGTGTTATTCAGCGTGCCATGGCGGCCTAATATGATTCATCCAACTGAATATATTTCAAAATAAACAAGGAAGGTGATCATTAAAAATACACCTAGTTAGATGTATCTGTTTAGGCTGGCATGGTACAGTGGATACACAGACAGTCAGACGGACAGGCAGACACACACACACACACATACACACACATACACACACACACACACACACACACACAGACACACACATACACACACACACATATACACACACACACACACACACACACACACACACACACACACACACACACACACACACACACACACACACACACACACACACACACACACAGGAGCTGCGACTCTAACCCTGCAACCACAAATAGGTGAGTACAAATAGGTGAGTACACACACACATACACACACACAACCTGGGAAAAACAAACTATCCTTATCTACTTTGCTAAAAAATTACTTTACATTTAGTGTTTTCCTTTAACATAAAAATAAAACAGGTCCTAAAAAAGAATAATTCTTTTATATGTCTTCTCTCTAGGCCGCTGCGCCCCAACCTCATGTCAGAACACGCTGATGCTATGAGGCGGTACGTAGAGGCGCTGGAGCGAGGTGACACCTTGGAGAAGGTGATGGGTCCCTCCTGGAGAAGCTTCGTCAAGAGACCCAAGGTGGTGGCCTGGATGTCCGGCCACTGTCCAACCAACTCCAAGAGGGAGGCATACGTTGCTGAGCTCTCTAAATACATCACTGTTGACAAGTGGGTGCATTGTTCCTCACTGTAACGCCATAAGTTTCACCAAATCTCGACTGGACGAACCAGAAAACGATTATTGGATCGGGTCTTTACCACTTTATTTACTGAATGACACATAGAAGTTTAGCTTTTTATGTAATGTATTACTATACTTCAATAAATTTATTCAACGTATAAAAATGAGAAGCTTTCCAGGCTGTCGATTATGTTTGTTATTTGACAAGACATTCGCATGTTGTGTGAAACTGAAGAAATAAGGAAATTTGACTTAAGCTACCAGGTGTAATTTAAAACCAACTTAGCAAAAACCTTGATGCTCTGATTTACTGACGTAAAATTGAGCTGGTTTACATTATATTGCTTTATTTAGTCAAGATGAATAATAACAATGAAAATTACACGAGATTAGACGAATTAGTACAAATTTATTATAATATTTTCCTTAAAGTCAAGGTAAAGTGAGCTAAGCCAGAAACTTAAGATAAACAAAACTTACTCGACACTGTATAAATATGATTCATCAGGATTACGGTGCTTAACATGTTCCAATGCTTAGAGACTGATTTTCTCATTTTCTATTGTCTTAGGTATATAATTCTACTGGGCTAATGGACTAATTACCTCCGTTTAATTCCCTGTAATGTATTAATGAAGTCACTGGATGGCGAAACGTCGGCAAAACAAAGACACCCAGATGCTGCACATCTGGGAACGCCTAAAGTGGTAGACTGAAATCTCCCTGAGCAAATCTAAACAAATTTCAAGTAATCATGAATTATTGATACTGATAATATCCTTCTCATACGTACAGGTATGGGGGTTGTGGGGACAAACCTTGCTACACAAGACATCCGATATCGGATTTATGTTGGAAAAACGTGTTGATGGGAAATTATTCTTTCTACATGTCCCTGGAGAACAACTTATGTGATGAATACATCACTGAGAAGCTCTACAACCCTTTGTTGCACAACCTCGTCCCTATCGTTTATGGAGGTACGTACGAGGAGTTATGAGAGTGGGTAAATATGTGCGTAGGTGGGTGTGGGAGTGCCGGAGTAAATTAATACTATAAAGAGAAATTGACTTTACATACAGAAGAAAAGACATACAATGTAGATTATGCTTTTATTGGAACAAATTTCGTGTGTTAGAGTTGCCTGAAGGTTGTCCAATAATAGCTCGTTCTATTTTATTTCCGTCATTGCGATAACAGAACTGAACTTTCAGGTAGTGACTACGATAGGTTCCTTCCTCCGCTCTCTTACATCAACGCCAGACACTACCACCCACGGGAGCTGGCCCGCCTCCTGACGCGGCTACACCAGGACCCCGTCGCCTATGGCAGGTAAGCACTATGGCTGTAGAAACACCTTCAGCTAAAAAAAAAAAAAACTTGCACTATGTATACAGGTTTTCTTAGAGGCTCAGCTAGACCCAGGCTATATTCAGCTCTTGAGGTTTCTTAACCACACAAAAGAAAGCATCTAAAGAACGCACCAAATAAAAATGAAATATAATTTGAATATTTTATTAATTAATCAAGGGTATTCCTTGCCTATCGTTCATTGTTACGACGTTCACCAAGGAGTGCCAAGTCAAACCTTGTTAGTCAACGAATTTGTGATAATTCTTCACCTGATTCAACACATTAAAGGTGCATTCACATGAAGCCGCAGATGTAAACTGGCAATGCAGTTATGATGATCGAAAAGAAAACAGATTAAATGTTAGAGTAATTTCTTTGATTTGCGTTTAATCTTAAAATTCATAGCATATTAACTAGAGGAAGAGAGCCACTCATTGAGATCTTTTAAAAGTTTATTGTTGTTGAAACTGATCAATTTTTGAAAGTAAATCTTTATTATTCAGACTGCTAAAATGCTTAATAAAGCCCACAAAGTGTAGAAGTTCGACACCTTTAGAGAATCTCCTGAGTCGTTCTGGCACTCGGGTTGTGGCCTAAGTGCCAAGAATGGCTCAGCTGGAGTTGAGTCACCGTGCCCTTGTAAAAGGGCTGCCCCGCCATATGGCTGTCAACGATACTACACTTGGAAAATCCTAGAGAGATTAGTACCAAACTTGCACACGAAAATCACTCTCTATGAAAACAAAAGACTCGACACTCGACAGGAGATGCAGCATTCCCTCATTGAGAAGCAGCGGGGCCACGAGTACACTAAGAGACAACACAATAAGTGTCAGGGGCCCAAGATTGTTCAACTGCCTCCCAGCGTACATAAGGGGGATTAGAAATAGACCCCTGTCTGTCTTCAAGAAGGCGCTGGGCAGGCACCTAAAGTCAGTACCTGATCAGCAGGGCTGTGGTTCGTACGTCGGTTTACGTGTGGATAGCAGTAACAGCCTGGTTAATCAGACCCTAATCCACCACGAGGCGTTGATTCTCGAAACCCTCTCCAGGTAAACGAAGACTGGTCACCGCGCCCTTGTCATAGGGCTGCTCCTGTCATAGGGCTGTAAGCGGTTCTTCACTTGACATGAACGTTCACTGTGCCTCTGCCATAGGAATGTAAACGGTACATCACTTGTACCAACTCTTACACTCCTTCCGGAGCCAATGCCGGGTCACCACATGGGGAAAACCCGTGTCAGAACCTGTCCTGGCAAACTACAAGAACATGAACATAGTATAAGTTAATTTTATTGAGCTCAGACTTCCGTGTAAGGCCTGAAATAATAAAACCAATGATTACATGAAGACAATGATTCATTAAGCTTCATCGAAATCCGCAGGCAGGTTGCTTTATTATAATATTCCAGTATTATCTACTATCACTTTAGCCTCAGACAGAATTGCATCCCATAGTTCATGAATCGGTTAAATTACATAACAGGTGGAGTTTAACCCGTGGCAACTGAGTCCTTAAACTCACAGGCCAATGATGTATTTGCAGTCGTTTTATTACGATTTCGTGAATCACGAATCAACTAACTGTCATTCGGAAAACTAATTTCATCAGGTGTAGTAGCGCGTTTTTCAGCAACCATATGAGTTTGGTGAGTCATGATAAGTGGCATCATCCACAAAAGTTGACAATATAATGTATTCAAAATTGTACATGAATTTCTGATTAGATTTAAAGATCTGTTCAAGTCTGTTCAGTAAGATTAAGCGACTCTGGATCAGTTGAAGCTTCACTGAATTCAAATGCTGGAAAACTGGTTGAACATCAGCAATCCGTGCAGACAACCTTGTTTTGCTATGCTATGCAGTGAAACTGGGTGTCCTTCAGAATTTTATACCTTTCTGGTCTGCTACTAAAGTAATCGAAAGTAATTGCATTTTTGCATGATTCATCTCAGTCAACACCAATAATGTTCAGTGTGTGGTTTCCACTCTTAGAAAAAAACACAGTTCGAATTATGCTCCGGTAGAACTGTTTGTATGCCTCTCTACTTTCCATTTACTTTGGATCTATTGTCATAAGCCTGACTATTGCAGTGCTGTTAATTTATCTTTCGTAATTCTTAGATACACCAGTGTCCACCATTCAGAAGAGCACCACAACAACCTGGGCGGCCTCTTGAAATTTCTTGGAGTAAAGTGATTGTTGACTCGGCGGTCAGATAAATTAACCACTGATGAAAGTAAAGAAAAAAATTCTTTCGTCATGGGCTAAAGTTGTGAAGCTTATCAAATGCTTATTAATAATAATTAATATATTCACATAAACAATTAGCAATTATGCGAGGCCACTTCACATCCTGAGACGAGGCTCAGTGAACATCGTAGATACTTGACCTCTTTGTAGTGCTGTACAGAACAGCTATCATATTACTAAATGCAGTATTCCATTCCCTCATCCCGCAGGTACCATGTGTGGCGCGGTTACTTCCAGGCTAAGATTCTAGGCAGCATGTGTGAGCTTTGTTCCCGCCTCCACACTGACACAACAACCAGTTACCACACAGATGTTCCCAAGTGGAGGATGACTAGCGGCCGGTGCAAGGCAGTTCCCTACAACATGTTCAACAGCACAGTGGGCAAGGGCGCCTGGAGAACAATCATCTCTACAAATTACGACACTATTTAATACTGGACTTGTCCTGTGATTCTCCAATTTGAAGCGAGTATTTTTAACAGAGTTCCACTTGGCAATTAAAACATACGAACACACACTCTCAAAGAACGTAAACAGGGAATCAGCACCGGCAAGGAGCCCACGTATATTTTTTGCTATGATGAATAGATAGAGGATTCATATTCAAAGTTGTAGGAGGTTACCAAATGTTTGCAAGAATGGACATTATTATGATAATTAATAAAGAAAAGAATAATAAGTTCCGTGTTGTTTCTAAGAGGCGTGAGAATCTTAATTCTTTGATTTTCATAATGGAAAGGCCACCAAAATATTTTAGAAAGCATTAAATTAAAGATATCAACAACTTTACTAACAAATCATTCCTCAAGCAATGTATGATCTTCACGTGTTAAGCGTTTCCCCATTAATATAATATAAAAAATTCTTATATTTGTATGAAATCGCTAAACTTGTATAGGTCATACAGAGCCCGGGTACTAAATGAAAATACAAGGATGCATCAACAAGACAGCTTTATCGTCTCCAACACTGTCCATCACCTAAATGTCGATAACTTCTTTCACAGCAGATTTTGCACATACTGTACATAACAAATGTACTTCGGAAGACAATGGAAGACAGCCGGAGTGTTAAATAAGAAGTTCAGTGTAGGTGCAAATTTTATGGAATTTATACTGATGTGTTTAATGCTAATGTGTTTTCCTAATAGGAATCTGTCTCTTGATGTGAGTTTGTGTAAACTTTAAAATGCCGAATTTATTTATCAAATTGGTTTTTGTGAAGTAGCTGGAGAATGTCTCTCCAGAAATAAGTCAGTGTTTGACTTTACCTATATAACATCTGTGGGCTCTTAAGACCATTGTAAAAAAACATCATGTTATGACTCACGAAATGGTAACGACACGGTTGCAAACATACCATACCACGGGCGGGGCTTGAACCCGCTATTATAGAGTCGACTGAAGTTTTACGATTCTCTAATCGCGTGTTTAAGCCCCGCCCGTGGTATGGTTCGGTTTACATTATGTTATGTTTCCAAAACTTCAATAAAACTTGTTTAATCATCAAATTACTTAAAACCTGAACAGTCTTACTGAAAGTGTGGATTGATTTTGGTCGTGTAGGTCCCAAACAGCATATTTCTTTCTTTTAAGAAACTGTGAAAACTGAAATATTGTTTCCCTTGCGATGTGTGATGAATGTTGCATCCAGTCAGCTCCAACGTTAAGTTTATAATGAAGCTTACGAGAGGTTTTAAGTTTAATATGCTGGTTTATTTTAGGATATTGGTTTCCCTGAGATAATAAGATCATGCTTCTTCAGTTTAGTTTCAAAGCTGTTTCTTAGAAATAGGTTTAAAAGGGATTTATTGAGGAACTGTTTCGCCATCTTGGGTGACCGATTATTATTTTTTATCCAATTTTGTTTTTTTTTTGGTGTGCCTTTAGAAGCAATTATGAACTGTGTTTTAATAAAGTTTCAATAAGATCGGTCAATATAACAAATGAGAAAAAATATTTATTAAGTATGGCACTTGGCAGTACGAGACTTCGATTGACCCGGCTGGCAGCGACCCGGCTGGCAGTGACCCGGCTGGCAGTGAACCGGCTGGCAGTAACCCGGCTGGCAGTGAACCGGCTGGCAGTGAACCGGCTGGCAGTGACCCGGCTGGTAGTGACCCGGCTGGCAGTGAACCGGCTGGCAGTGACCCGGCTGGCAGTGACCCGGCTGGCAGTGACCCGGCTGGCAGTGACCCGGCTGGAAGTGACCCGGCTGGCAGTGACCCGGCTGGCAGTGACCCGGCTGGCAGTGACCCGGCTGGCAGTGACCCGGCTGGCAGTAACCCAGCTCATAGAACAAGCTTTACTCGAATATCCTTCATAATGAAATAATGTAATATACCTTGTTTACCTGGAGTTTACCTGGAGAGAGTTCCGGGGGTCAACGCCCCCGCGGCCCGGTCTGTGACCAGGTCTTCATGCCGAAAAAAATACATTTAGTACAGTTTTTGATATTCACTAAAATATTTTCCTTTTTACCCCCCCCCCCCAACAAACTAAAAAATATTTGAGATACTCCAAATGTTTGTAAAAAGGATATTCGATCACACTTTATTTTATATTGTCTATGCAAATCATTTCAATATAATCAATAATAATTATGTACTGTGAAGAAATAGGCCAAAATCTTACTCTCCAGATACTATTGAGGTAAACAGGCGCGCATCTGCTTACATAAAAAAATCACGAAACTCCAAGACTTTTGGCTTTTTCAATGTAATATAAGTGATTTCTTATTGTTTCTCTCATCGACACCATGCCTAACCCTTCTAGGGTAGGGTAGGTGCCTGAGCCCGAGCCTTTAGCTCATAAGACTGTCATTCCCATTAGCCCCTTTGGGGTGGGGATGGCAGACCAGAGAGGCCTAGCTCAATTCAATTCAATTCAAAGTTTATTCTCTATTAGGATTACAATGCTGAGTTTACAGAAATTTGGTTATTGTTTGGTTTACATGTAGTAAAATTGTGATTACAGAGTGTACCACTAGAACGCTTAGCATGGCTAGGCATTTCGGGCATACTTAGTTTTATTCTTAATTGTAAAATATTACAAATTATGAGGTAAGTTGGTCTTATGGCTAAGTGACTAAATACTAGTTTATGAGTTTAGCAATGTGAATGCTTTTGTTTTGGCACAGTATATAGTTTCAGTATTGGAGTATCACAGGATTCATTATTTTAAGACTGAGATTAATATTTCTGTTTATGGTCAAATGAGTGAGCGAGTGTAAGTGTGAACCACCAGGTGGTATTCGTGTAGTTAGTTGACGGGGTGTATCAGGGAGATAAGATGTTTTCTAATGGTAGTTTTGAAGGTGATGAATGTGTCTGCAGTTCTAGAGTTCTCAGGTAGGGTATTCCAGATTTTAGGGCCTTTGACATACATTGAATTTTTCTAAAGGTTTAGTCGGACACGGGGAATGTCGTAGAGATGTTTGTGTCTGGTGTTATGCCTGTGGGTTCTGTCACAACTATCAAGAAAGCGTTTTAGGTCAAGGTTGATATTAGAGTTTAAGGCCCTGTAGATATAGATTGCACAGTACTAAGTGTGGATGTACTGAACTGGGAGTAAGTTTAGATCTTTGAAGAGTGGGGGGGGGGTGCTGCCAGGGATGGGATTTAGTGATTATTCTTACTGCAGCTTTTTGTTGGGTTATTATTGGCTTTAGGTGTGTTGCTGCAGTTGATCCCCAAGCACAAATAGCATAGGTGAGGTATGGATAAATAAGTGAGTGGTATAGTGTGAGAAGGGCATTTTGCGGCACGTAGTATCGTATCTTGGAGAGGATCCCAACCGTTTTGGATACTTTTTTGGCTATATGCTGGATATGGGTGCTGAAATTCAGGTTGTTGTCAAGGTATAAGCCTAGGAATTTTCCCCCATTATTTCTGGTAATTAGAGTGTTGTCAATCTTAATGTTAATTTGTGCATCTCCTTCTCTGCTACCAAACATAATATAGTAAGTTTTGTCAGTGTTAAGCGTAAGTTTATTGGCTGTCATCCAAGTCGATATTTTAATCAGCTCCTCATTCACAATGGTGTTGAGGGTGGCAAGATTAGGGTGAGAGATGACATAAGTCGTGTCATCAGCAAAGAGAATGGGTTTCAGGTGTTGGGATACGTTTGGAAGGTCATTGATGTATATGAGGAAGAGCAGGGGACCAAGGACACTTCCCTGCGGAACTCCAGTATCAAGTGGCCGTGTTGCTGATGCTGTGTCTTTAATGGTGACGTACTGATACCTATTAGTAATGTAAGATTTGAAATAAGCAAGCGCATGGCCTCTTATACCGTAGTGGTCAAGTTTGTGGAGTAGGATTTGGTGGTTTACTGTGTCAAAAGCTTTTCTTAGGTCAATAAAAATTCCTAGTGGATATTCCTTATTTTCCAATGCTGTGTAAAGCAGATCTAGCATTTTTATGATTGCATCATTAGTGCTTTTATTTTTCCTGAATCCAAACTGGCAGGGGTTGAGTATGTTTTGAGCCGTTATAAATGAATACAGTCTCTTGTACACGAGTTTCTCAAAGATTTTGGATAGCAATGGTAAGTTAGATATTGGCCTATAGTTGTTTAAGTCTGTAGGGTCACCACCTTTATGTATTGGTGTAACCCTTGCCATCTTGAGTAGTTTCGGGAAGGTGCTAGTCTCTATTGACTTGTTAAAAAGTAATGAAATAGCATGCGAAAGGACATGGGCCGCTCGCTTGTACAGTAATGGTGGGACATGAGACAGATTCCCCGAGTTATTTTTAAGTGACTTTATGATCCCAATGACTTCCGTGGCTAGGCCTGGGGACAGTTGGTCCCACAGATGAGGAGGTACTTGTGCCTCTTCCCATGGGAGACTTAGGTCTCAGACACTCCCTAAAGAGGGAGCCAAGGCCGGGCCACCACTTGGAAAAGGCCCGGGCCGGGAGAATACCGGCTAATCTTTAATAATATTGTTTCTCTTGTATATTATACCGTTTTCTTTAGTAAGAGACCAGAGGTAAGAGAGAAAACCATTCCTCTATAATCAGATACTTGAGTAAAAAACCACTGACCATGAACCACCAAGTAAGTAAGTAAGTAAGTAAGTAAGTTTATTCAGGTATATACAAATACAGTTACATAGAATTATCATATATAGCAGCATATGTGTAGAGAACCTGGGATAACCCAAAAAAGTCAGACAGTGACTTATTTCCATTGGGGTCCTTTTACCTTATTATTATAATATAAAGGTTATAATATTTTCTTATTATTCTATAATGAAGATAACATCTTATTATCATACTAAAAAGACTATCTACTACACGAGGGTCATTAAGACTATCTACAATACGAGGGTCATTACTAAGAATAAGGTAAAATTTGCACGTATGTTAGCCAAAAAATAGAAAATCATTCCCCTCCCTTTCTGTAGCTACATTCATCAGACACCTTTTGGCACTCTTCTTGAACTGGTTCATGCTATGACTGGCTTTGACATGTGCGGGCAGTCTGTTCCATTCCTTTATTGCTGTACAATAAAAGGTGTTTGAAGCCTGGCCACTGACTGTGGGTACTACAAAGTTGTGCTCTCTCCTCCTAGTACTATGATTGCTTTGGTTCCCAACCTTGACAAAATTGACAGCAAGATATTCTGGACACTGTGAGCAATTTTATAAACATGATTTAGCTTCAGCTGTTTTACTCTGTCTTCAACATTCAGCATATCCAACTGCTGTAATTTATTCTGGCCTACATGCTCTCTTGGTCCCAGCCCCAGGATGAATCTTACGATTTTGTTCTGGGTGATTTGCAGTCTATCTTTCAGTTTTTTGGTCAAGGCAGAGTACCATGAAGAGCAAGCGTAATCCATATGGCATTGTATAAGGGCTAGACATAGGGTCCTGCGAGCCTCAGTAGGTAGACACTGTGCTTGTCTATACAGGAACTTCAGTCTGGCATTCGCTTTCTTTACTACACTGTTCCCTATCAATTCTCCTGGCATGCATGGGTCAAAGGGGATTCCCAGATATTTTACTGATGAAACCAAAGTGATGGGCTCCCCATTACACTGTTAAAATTATTTACCCTTCTCAGTTTATGTTTCGTGCCATATACCCTCCGGTATTCAAATTCAAATTCAAATTCAAAATTTATTCTCTATAAGGATTACAATGCTTAGTTTACAGAATTTGGTTATTGTGTGGTTTACATGTAGTAAAATAATAATTACAGAGTGTACCACTAGAACACCTAGCATGGCTAGGCATTTCGGACAGACTTAAATTAAATCTTAAGTTTAAAATATTACAAAATTATGAGGTAAGTTGATATTATGGCTAAGTGACTAAATACTAGTTTGTGAGTTTAGCAATGTGAATGCTTTTGTTTTGGCACTATACATAGTTTCAGTA